ATACTTTCCCCCACCCCAAATCACGATCAAATAGTTAAAAACCACCTAAAGTCACCTTATTTGGCAAATTAGTGCCCCTCAACTGATCATCGAGCATCCCCATCAGCCTCCCCCCACCCCCATTTCAAGACTTCATATGCCACTGCTACCATCAATAACTGTTTTCAACACTCAATCATCCACTCTGGCAGAATGCACTATATGTACTGTATGTATGTAGAAGCGGTTGGCGCATCGATTGTGGCTTGGACTCCCAACCTTGAGGTCACGCTTGTGTTCTTGAGCAAGGCACTTTATCTACGTTTGGCTCTCTCTACCAAGGAGTATTGTAATGTAAGATAAATTTATTAACAAGCAAGTAAAATTTCTTTTTGCAGTTGTCAATCAGAATTGCTGAAAAAAATATAGTATTATCTTCAAATTACCCATCACACACACATTTGCATTTTGTTTCAATATCTGTGTAACAGCTGAGACACAGTTTAAATTCAAACGTTACTTCAATCATAACTGCGTGTACAGTAAAGTTATAATGATGAAAGTTCAGCCAAAATATGTACCATATACCTTCCATCCCACTTTCATCAAAATGGCCTCAGGCAATGTAATAAAAGAAGGTGTGCTGCTCTCGAAGAAATGAAAACCTAATCCATGACTGAAGTGGGAATCTTGGATGACCATAATAAAACACCTGAACAATTTGTATTCCGATGGCGTTTTGCTTTTTGCTCATTAAAAGCAAGCTCTGGCTGCAAATTTCTCTTAATTTTTACATTAAGGAAATTTATGGTACAAGTGCTGATTCCCAGGTGACTCCTGAGACTTGCAGAAGAATCATCAGCCCAACCTTCCTGTTTGATACGCACGTTTATAGCGTTTAATGCAGCGCACTCAATAACAACATTAGTACTGCAACAAAGTAATATGTTACTGATAAGTCAAAAGTAGGGGAAATTTTTGTATTTTATTTTTATTATAAAACTGTTATTTTAATATAATATTTATCTCAGCAAAATATTAGTCAGCCGGCCGCCTGAACTGCCAGACCGCCTCCGCAGCCCATGCCTGGTGTTGAATATGCAGACCCCTGACAATGACAGTTTAGATACTGATGCAATGCATTTTTCTTTCGCTGGCTATCCAAATCTTTCATTTTTAAGCATTGTTATCACCTTTGCCAAGGAGGTTATATGTATTAATTCACCACTGTCCATCTATTAAACAAGATTATGCACAAACTAAGGAATGGATCATCATCTTAGCAGAATGGTCAATCAAACAAAGAAATTATTAGCTTTTGGTAGAAAAGGTCACAGAAATTCATTGTTTTACCCTTTAAGCGTAAATAGAATAATGGCATCACCCATTGTATATTGTTCAGTAATCAGGCACAGGGCGGAAAATAATGGAATCGCTCATCATACCCATCCTGTGTATTGTTTGGTATTCAGGAACAAGGGCAGAGGTATCAGGGCCGTATGTGAATCACTAGCATAATAATTTTCATTCTTAATTTGCAACCAAATATGGCTTGTCAGGGCTCGATTTAGTACTAGCCCGGCGTACAATGTCTAGTAAAAACCGCTCCGGGCTAGCCTATTTACTTCCCATGTTGCCCGGTTGTCTAGTGGAGAATTATCAAGAAAAACATTTTATTAAAAAAAAAAGGAAAAAAAGCGGAACTTTCGAGACAATCCCTGCACAGGAGGTACCGCAGCCCAGAGAGTACACTCTAGCTAGCTTTAAGCTCTCCACATGCGCGAGTGTTTAATTATTAAGATGATCCCCAAGTCATTCACCAATCACTACAGGATGGCACATGTTATCTTTCTCTCAATAGAAAATCGTTTGATCGTTCAATCTGGTTAATTTAGGTAGTTTAATGTAATTTGATTTAATGTACTACCTTATATTCATATTATTTTCTCATAATGATACTTTTAAATGTTCAACTTTTAATAATAAGTACTTCAATGTGCTATAGGTAGGCTAGCCTAGGCCCTATGTTTTGTCTAGGCCTAGGTAGCCTAGCCTAGGTAGCAAGCAAGATTTTTTGCCATTGGGGGTGAGTAACTTGAGATCTAAAGATTTAACAGATGCATTGGTTTGATTGATTTCTGGGCCCTTTGTTAATTAAATATTAGAAAACCAAAGTTATAACCAGGGAGATGTAAAACATGCTCATAGCACAGAGACCATGTATTATGCGCTATATAAGTCTCCAACCATTACCATACCATCTGTCCCTGTTGTTATAACCAGAGTCGATTTTGCATCATGGGTGATTTTTTTATTTATTTATTCAACAATATTTTGAGAGGGTAGCTCGAACAGCAATGCTACAGAAATTATGAAATTGCAAATCAACCTTCAAATTTAATTGTCGCTAATAAATATTTTGAAACCAAATTTTTTCCTGTCTGTGGGCTAGTAAAATATTCTGTGGGCTAGTAAAATCTCTAGTAAACTAGCCCAGTGGGCTAGTTACCAAAAAAAGTTAGGGCAAGCCCTGCTTGTGAGCAGCTTAAATGTTGGATCTCCTGGGGGGACTTCACATCAAAAAAGGGCACAACAAAACACCTGAACAATTTGTATTCCGATGGCGTTTTGCTTTTTGCTCATTAAAAGCAAGCTCTGGCTGCAAATTTCTCTTAATTTTTACATTAAGGAAATTTATGGTACAAGTGCTGATTCCCAGGTGACTCCTGAGACTTGCAGAAGAATCATCAGCCCAACCTTCCTGTTTGATACGCACGTTTATAGCGTTTAATGCAGCGCACTCAATAACAACATTAGTACTGCAACAAAGTAATATGTTACTGATAAGTCAAAAGTAGGGGAAATTTTTGTATTTTATTTTTATTATAAAAACTGTTATTTTAATATAATATTTATCTCAGCAAAATATTAGTCAGCCGGCCGCCTGAACTGCCAGACCGCCTCCGCAGCCCATGCCTGGTGTTGAATATGCAGACCCCTGACAATGACAGTTTAGATACTGATGCAATGCATTTTTCTTTCGCTGGCTATCCAAATCTTTCATTTTTAAGCATTGTTATCACCTTTGCCAAGGAGGTTATATGTATTCACCACTGTCCATCTATTAAACAAGATTATGCACAACCTAAGGAATGGATCATCATCTTAGCAGAATGGTCAATCAAACAAAGAGATTATTAGCTTTTGGTAGAAAAGGTCACAGAAATTCATTGTTTTACCCTTTTAAGCGTAAATAGAATAATGGCATCACCCATTGTATATTGTTCAGTAATCAGGCACAGGGCGGAAAATAATGGAATCGCTCATCATACCCATCCTGTGTATTGTTTGGTATTCAGGAACAAGGGCAGAGGTATCAGGGCCGTATGTGAATCACTAGCATAATAATTTTCATTCTTAATTTGCAACCAAATATGGCTTGTGAGCAGCTTAAATGTTGGATCTCCTGGGGGGACTTCACATCAAAAAAGGGCCCAACACAGTGCCGGATCCTGGAGGGTTCAGACAAACCCCCTTTGTAAAGAAAAGTAACAAAATACTACTGGGTCCTGGCTTACAAAAAGCGTGCTAACCTACCTAGTCCTAGTTTGGCAGATCAGACAAACTAGGCTTAGCCCAACTAGATTATACACACTGTTTTTGGTTCAACGTCGTAATAATTTTATGTAGAAAGTGCGTTCTTCAGGCCTATCGGTTCATCGATCCATGGAAGAAAGACTATATTTAACTACTTAATATTGTTGGAATATATTAATATATTTCCTATTTCTTTTATTTTTTTCTCTCTATATAGGCCTAATGAATGAAATAAAATTACCTGACCTTTTTCAAGAGGGAGAAAACCCTTGAGTTGAGAAGAACTTAAAGATCATTAAAGACTCCCCAGAAGTCGGGAAAAACTGATTTCCGGCCAACTATGGAATCAAAATTTTCCCGGGGGTGGACCCCCCCACCACCCATTCTATTTTAGGGTTTTTTGGAAACATTTTGAACCCCTCTTATTCAAACCCTGGATCAGCCCCTGCAATAAATCTTGCACTCAGGTCTAGTAGTATCACCTAGGTACGCTGCTAAGGGCAAATAGAAAAATTTATTAGATTATCACTCCTGTCTGAGTCAAAAATTCGGGAAATATTGATGTGGGAATAAAAAAAAAAAATTTAAGTTATAAATAATAAGACCGCCCTCCCTCATCAATTTTTTTTTTTTTTTTAAAGAGTGAATCTAATATTTTTTTCTATTTGCCCTAACTGCTCGTGTTGGATCTACGAACACAGCCACTGACTTTATTTACGATATAATTTATATCCCTATATTGTGGCTAAAGAACTGCCAAAACCAACATAATAAGAACATCTGTGGCCAGAGCTGACCTTAAGTGTTAATTTTAAGAAGCAATTCTCTGAAAGTGAAAGTAAGTTCTTACCTCTGTATATTTTACCGCGTTCGTACGTGGAAGGATGACCATGGATTCTCAATCGAAACCCGTTATCTCCATCTAATTTATCAACTTCAAAATCTGTTGGCTGTCGATCACAGCCAATTGTGATTGCATTCAATTGAACGGCTTGTGCTTCGTATCTGTATATGTACATACAAATCATCAAAATAAGGAGTTTGGTAGCCATTTCTGTTCACAGCCTCAACCTTTGGAAGCTGAGTACTGTACAAATTACACCGCTCAAAACACACCACCAACGCTTACTACGTCAATGACCTCAGCTATTAAGTGACGATTCACTCTCTGTATACAAACTTTTTTTTGGGTTGTTCCAAACAGACTCGAAGAAGGGGGTGTTATAATTCGCAAATGTAATTTTACATTTATCAATTTCTATTACTATTATCAAGCAGATTATACTATACTATGTATAAAAAGGCACACAAGCGATTATTACAATTTTTTATGCTATACAACAGAAATGCAAATTTAATTTATTCTGGAATAATGGAAGAATCCTGTGCGATTAATTGTAAAGTTTAGATGGCGCTATTGACGGCACAGCAAACGAATAATGAGTCCATTAAAGTACAGCCACCTTGCCTCCTTGCAATTTCTTAGATTATTACAAATAAAACACAGTGTATATTTTTACTTCACTCAAAACATATATTCTAGGGCTTATGATATATATTGTTTTCTGTTTATTACTTCGATAATATTTTACTTTAATTTTAGATGAATAAAAAATACTTTGACTTTCCATCTTAGCCAAATTTTATTTGTACAATTAGGGGGCCTATGTTGTACATGATTCAAAACATTGTCATTTTAATTCTCTCACTGTCCTGTAAGTGTATATGCCAACATATTCAGCTTAATACATAATGGATGAATGTATAAATTCGTATTGAATTTCCAAAGAGAGATGTTTTATCTACTTACAAAAGCTGAACAGTAAATTAAAGACACGTCACACAGCACTTTATCAGACTAACAAATTGTATTGATATACTAGCTTTCGACCACACAGTGGTCTTCATACGGTGAACAAACAAAAACAAAAACAAAGCAAAGCAAGCAAGTTGGAAAACAAATCCATCTAATCGCCGAAAGACAGAATGATACGTAGAAAATACAATAATATATTTCCAGTAAAAGTGTCTGTGTTGCTTGCTGCCTGTCAGCGAAACAAGACACTTCAATTCACGACACGTATATTCACAACACTTAACATTGTCTGTCAGGTATTAGAAAATAGTATATGCAAAATCAGCTTGTTTTAAATGATAACAAGACGGAGCTAATTTATTTTCCGTTCAAATGTCAGCGTCTGGAGCTTTCACTTCGAAGTGATTGTAATTTACCAGGAAAGCGCATAGAGAATCTAGTGTTCGCTATAATACAGTACAGTACAAGCATAATAATATTATTTTACTTGAAAACCCTTCTACTATAACAAATGGATTAACTACTCAAAATAGCTTGTAGGCCTACTAAAGACAAGAAATGTTGTAACAATAATAGGGCTAAGAAATTACAAAATATTATTTTTCAATTATGTTAGGAGCACTGCCATGGCCCAAGCGTGAATGGAAATGCATATTAATTACTGGGCCAACTCACCAACTTGAAGCACTTTCATGCAATCATATGTATAATGAGGGCTATTTCTTCAGAATATTTATTCCTAAGGCCTAACCTTTTTGCTATATTTTTATGATGATCGTTTTATTACGGTATTTGTTAAAACTACCGTTCACTTCATGCTTGTTTAGAGAGTAACGTTCCCCCTGTTCACTCCCGCAGGCCTACTACTGCGTCCAACCCCATTGGTGAAGCAATTTGCGTTACCTATTTCGATAATGTTTTATTACGGTATTTGTTAAAACTACCGTTCACTTCATGCTTGTTTAGAGAGTAACGTTCCCCCTGTTCACTCCCGCAGGCCTACTACTGCGTCCAACCCCATTGGTGAAGCAATTTGCGTTACCTATTTCGATAATGTCTCTGTGATTGTGGTAATTTCGTTTTATTGTTGCAGTACCCTTTCATAACAATAGTAAATATTTGGACAAGCAAGAACCCGGTACATATTATGTAAGGACGAATAATAACACGATTTAGCTCCTAATTTAGCCGCAGTTACAGACAAAAAAAAATGTTGGCTTAGATAGATCAACACTAACGGGGCTCAATGAAACATTATTTTGATAGTGATAGACTAAACTTAATAATGGATTGAGCTCATTTTGATGGCGTTATTATCAAGGTAACTAACAGAAACAGAAAAGCGAAAATTAGGAATTAGTGTCTTTAATACACAGCTCCCCGAGAAGCACGCCAACAGTAAACTCGAAGAAACAAAAGAACACAACGAAGTCATTACTAGCATGACAGATGAAGCTATATACCAATATTGTCTTTGATGACATAATATTGAAGACTAATAAACATCATAGCATGAACTCAATCCATTCATGAGCATTGTGTGTACTAAGGCTTTTACACTAGCCTCTATGCAATCTCCAAAATATATTTTGTTAAAATAAATAAGTGTGTGATTGCTTTTGTGAGATCATATACTATTCTTAAGAAATAGTAAATTAAATATAAATATTAGGTCTATCAATAGAACTGTATATCGAATCACTAATTCTATTAAATGACAGATAATACAATGTTATCGAAAGCTTAACCTATAAAATCGAAAATTAAAGCATGATTAAATTTAAAAAAAATAATTGTAATATTTTGGAAAATTGGTGAAATCCATTGAACGATTCTATACAATCAAACGATTCTATACCTGACCATAGAGAAAATAGATTTTCTCTATGACCTGACCTAATGGAGTTTCCTCCGTTCAAAACATGAAGCCGGTGTAAGCAATGACATAATTTTGACATCGAATAATGAACTTAATAATGTTAATATTAATAACATTCTCATCATCATCGTCGTCATCCTCCATATTGTCGCTAATCCTTATTATTAGGAAGATTTCATAACATTACGAAAACGATAACGAATAGGCCCCTACGTCATCTTCATCCGTGCCAAAAGATTCTTGACAATACATATTATACGAGCTGAATAAGATCGTTGATTCTTTCATGTAAAAGGCATGGATCGAGAGGTATTCCCTTAGAGGATGGTTTGACTACAAATTCGATGACGTAAACCGTATCGTTATCATTACCTCTTTATTACCTATATTATTTTAATTAACATTATTAGTATGCTATACAAATTTGGATTTTATTTGGATTCTAATAGATTATGATGATGATATGAACCGTTTTTGGTTAGTTAATTTACCTTGAATGTGCCAACAAAGCCCATTAAACAGTATTAGAAGACTAGTGTTAAAAATACGGGGTATTTTGCGTAGTAAAAGACTACTTCACCTAAAATTATATATTATATATTTCTCCTTATCAAAATCACTATATTAAAATAAAATCAAAGAAAAACAATAGATGATGGATTTACTGTTTAAATTATAAAATCTAACGTTTTATTATAACAACTATAAGAAGATACACAGATTTTCAAAAGTTTTATTTTATTTGCATAAATCTGGACATAATATATGATTTCCCCACCCTTTTTTTTCATGATTTGATCAATTCTGAAACATACAGAATCACTCATGCCCCCTTAATGAAAACAAATAATATAAATGATTTGGATAAAAACATATTTTCCATAAACATTTCAACATAAACACCAATCATCATTCAGTTGCTGAACCACGAATCCCTTGGATTTCTCATTAGTAGGATACGTTATTTGGTCAAGGTATTGCTTAATACACAATTATTAGATGCATCACTTAATGCAGAATAAAAAGCCAATTGTCAACTCAAAAGCAGTGATATCTAGAGTATATTCCAAAATGCAATGAATATGAACATTAACATTTATTATGTTAATGGCCACTGTCTCTTATACACATCTAGATGTGTATAAGAGACAGACTCTAAACCATATTGCAGTATTAACCATATGCAACCAGGTAAAAAAATAACTAAGAACATTATGTGTAATATTGCACATTCAATTCTAAAATAACAACATAGCAAAACTCTTCCCTAATTTAGAATTATTTTGGTAATAAATAAGGATGATGATACCAATAAAAATGGCAATAGCTATTGTAATAATAACAAAAATAATACTAATTTCTATTGTACTTCTTAAATTTACGTAAACATCAATGAAATTCAATTTTAACTGCGAATTTAATGAATAAAAAATACTTCAAAATTTACTTGTATAATAACAGTAACAGACAATAATAATACAGTTTGGTACACAATATTAAAGGGACATCTCTATTAAGGGGACACTATTTTGGCCAAAAATTAGGGAAAATATATCTTTTAATAATAATAATAATAATAATAATAATAATAATAATAATAATAATGATAAGAGAAAATGCTCATTGCATCCTTCCACAAGAAAGTCAAAAAATTAAAAAAGGAAAAAAATTAACACTACCCAACACCTATTTAGGGGACACCCCTATTAAAGAGACACTTGTTTTAGTCCCGTATGTGTCATATCAATGACACACCTATTCACCTATTCTTAAAATTGTGTGCACCCCCCCCCCCCACACCCTACAATTTGAAAAATTCTGGATTTTCCCCTGACTGTTTCAATACTAATAAAATAGAATTTTGCTCTACCAGTTAAAACATGTATTTGATTAAAGGGCTTTGATTTTTACAAACTAAAATAAACATAGAATTTTATATGATCAATTCATCATAAAGCAAAACATCAAGCAATGTTACGCAAAATCTATATTAAAAGATTAAAATACTTGGAAAATTGACAACCAAGTAACCAATTTGGTGGCATATCTAGGGGTGTGCACGGCCAACTCCCCACTCTCCCCCCAAAAAAATCATGTTCAAATAGTTAAAAATCACTTCAAATCACCATATATTGAGAATCAAAGCCCCCTCATCCCGTCATCGAACCCACCTCTTCACCTTTTCCCCTATCAACCCCCCATTTCAAGGCTCCTAGATACACCATTGTTTACATTTCCAAACAAGAAGACTATCCATTAGTTTATATTTACATTACCTAATTATCGTTAACATCTACATATTTATCTAGTGTTCAATGTATTTATGTACAGCATTAAATTTATTTAATCCTACAAAATACTGTATATTTTTCAAGCAATTTGCAATTCAGCGGTAAAGAAAACGGTTTTTTCATGATATATTTAATACAGGGACTTCTGAGAGATCTAATAATGAGCTTCTTCGTCTTTTCTGTACATGGGCTACTTATGTCAAGCTAAGTTTAGGGAGACAGTTATTAATACAGTAGTAACAACATAGACATTCTGGATTTGCAGGTAATGGATTATTTTCTGGGAGATTATTGCTTACTTGCAAGTGTATAGGAGAATGCACTAATATCTTATGACTTGCAGTAGACTTGGAACCCCTGCATCTACTCTAATTTCAATAGAAATATCACTTACATTCTAATCTTCCTATTAATCATCATACAGTATATATATATGACATCGGATCATGACACAACAAATGTAAATTTTACAGAAATATATTTCATCGGTTAGGTTTTTTTTTTCAGGTACCTCCATCTCAAGAGCCTTGAACATTTTTAAAGTGGATATGTGTGCTTTATTATATAAATCATATTTATTATTAACAAATATATACTCTCTAAATGAAAATTCAGGAAACACTCAAAATTTCATATAAAACATAAAACTGTTCATTAAAAAGAATAAAATAAATTATCAATTTAAATGTGACACAGATTGAAGCAATTAATGTTGGTGATTTATAGACATTTTCTAAAAATCTGTATATCTTGCAACTTTATCATTTTCAATTTTCAAAAAACACAATCTTCGACCATCATTAATTCATCAGAGGCACCCGCTGCATCAGCATCATTGGACTAATTTGCCAATCCAATCAATGTTATTTTATTATCCCAAATAGTGTTGTCTAAATGCACAATTTTGAGATTCTCTCCCTATAGACCCCCACCATTTTATTCCAGAACCATGACCAAGGCTCTAGGTGACCCATTGGTTCAGACAGCACTGAGAGACTTGTTGGACCCCTTGTAGGCAAATTTTTGGAACCACCACTGATAATGTACAAAGTATTAGCAATTACAATACTGAATTTTACTGTAGGCCTACATTATTCCTTTTCTAGAATCATCATGGGGATTAATCATCAAAATTTTAAACCTTTTCTTGCTATTTTTAGCATTTGATAACTAAATTTTTACTCTATACCTCATAAATATTAATTAGGTAATAACAACATTTCATTGGCCAATTCCACCTGGTGTGCAGTAGTTTCTCCTACCTACTTGTGCATGCCAAATTTATGCATACATCGGGAAAAACATATTACACAAAATCGACCACCACACCCCTGCCTATGTGAACCGTATGCAAACTGTGTAATTTTATCTGAAAATGCTAATGTAGAGAGATGATGTGTTGTTTAATATTTATGAGGTATAGTAAAACATGTTGGACCCCTTGTAGGCAAATTTTTGGAACCACCACTGATAATGTACAAAGTATTAGCAATTACAATACTGAATTTTACTGTAGGCCTACATTATTCCTTTTCTAGAATCATCATGGGGATTAATCATCAAAATTTTAAACCTTTTCTTGCTATTTTTAGCATTTGATAACTAAATTTTTACTCTATACCTCATAAATATTAATTAGGTAATAACAACATTTCATTGGCCAATTCTACCTGGTGTGCAGTAGTTTCTCCTACCTACTTGTGCATGCCAAATTTATGCATACATCGGGAAAAACATATTACACAAAATCGACCACCACACCCCTGCCTACGTGAACCGTATGCAAACTGTGTAATTTTATCTGAAAATGCTAATGTAGAGAGATGATGTGTTGTTTAATATTTATGAGGTATAATAAAACAAATACAACATAGTCACTATTACTACTTTATCGAAATAGTGACTATGAGGTATAGTAAAACAAATACAACATAGTCACTATTTCGATAAAGTAGTAATTCTACTTCCCTCAATGTTGGATAATTAGGACTACCTCTCTGCTTGGGGTCGGGAGGTAGTCCCAATCATAAAACACTTAGGGAAGCGAAATTCACTACTTCACCTCAAACCATTTAATTTTGTATTTGTATATTACTCTACTGTAATACAATTTCTATTGGTAGTCAAACTGAAGTGTTGACCTCTTAAGTTTCTCAGGTAAAAGTTCATCAAACTTCTCATCCATTATCACTGTGAAATAGCTCTTCCATTGCCCAACTCTGTCTTCTATAAAGAGAATAGACAATGTTTAAAATCTTATTGCAATGGAATAATTAAAAAAAATATATATATATAAAAAAAGGTAAAGTTGAAACCAGAGGCCCCTTGAATCCGCCACAGAATAAAACATTCAATTATAAAATATAGCAACACTAAAAACATTAAATACAAACTCATTCATTTCTAAAATATGAAGTCAACAAAAACTCTACCTTACAACTACTCTACCTTACAATTACTCATGTACATAAGTATAATTTACACCATTACTAATTATACTGTAAAAATCACTATCAAAGCAAGACAAAGCCATGGGCATGCATGGTTCACAAAAAAAAAAACAAAAAACAAAAAACAAAATCAAAACATTAGTGTTAATATAAAAATTGATACAATTATCATTCACTATACCATGGCAATAGTGCTAAACTATTCTTTGAAATGCACAAGATTATTTTAGTATACCTGCAAAACATAGTCTCAAATTGTTGTATCATTTTTTTGTTTATTTTTATGCTAGTTTAGGACAGAGTTTAAATTGGATTGATGATAATAGTTACGTTAATGCCTGTAGCCTAAACAGGTATATAAAACCACATTTCAACCAGTACAAATACAATTTTAAAAACACTAATTTGGTTGTGATCAAACACAAAAAAATCAATTCTTATTCATATGTTTTAAAGAGAATGATAAGAAATATGAAGAAATAACTAGCTCATTATTTATACTGCACATAGAATATAGCATAAGCTGAATGTGAAGTGTGAGGCCTATTAGAGCAACCTATTGGTTGCATTTCAGTCAGGATTGGCTGATGCCTCTTAGAAGCTTGGTTGATGCCTCATAAGATTAATAAATAAGCAAATCAATATCTCTCAATGAGTCATGGAATTTTACTCTGCATTACCTACAGCTCGGACTAAAGAACCTAAAGTGAAATCATTATGAACATTTTACAATAACAAAAGAAATGGATTAGGCCTTTTAATCAAACTGCAATGGCTATCAATATTATAACAAGTTTTGCTATACTGTACTAAGATTGTTATATCTAGTATTTTTTTTAATTTAATTAAGAGCAAAACCAATTGCTGTATTAAATTGATAATTGTTGTACTGAGGTTGTAGTGGACTTAGATTTTTGCTTAGCACAAAAAAAAAACATTAAAATTAATATTTTAGAATTATCTTGAATTTGTCTAAAATCTATGATTATGCTAATCATTTAATTTTTTTTTTAATCTATGATACTGCTAATGTTTGACTTATTATGCATGCTTGAAGAGATATTGTCAAAGATAATTTTAGAACAGAATGCTAATGTTTAAGCTTATCTCATCTTTTAAAAAATTTATTTTCCAAGCTGAATTGAAAAATTCCAAACCAGTAAATTAGCAATCATCAATGGTTTTAACCATTAAAATGTTTCAACATACCACATTTGTTGTATACAGTAGTACTCAAGTTTTGATATAGCCAGTGATGTAGTGCTTTAATAAGCAATGGAGCAATGCTAAAATTTACCTCTTTTGTTGTACTGAGATTGTGACATCCAGTAGTTTTCTAGATTTCTCACTTGTTCAGGCATCAATTGCATACCAATGAATTTTGCCAAAGTTCTTGTAAATTCCCCAAAATTCTAGTTCGACAAGAGATGAAAATTATAATAAAAGTAAACAGAGCCTAGAAAAACAATCCTTGCAAATAAGGCAATGTAGTAAAATTTTGGCTAAATGATATACTGTTAATGATCAGTATATACTTTTTTATTAAGCCTGTAAGCCTTTTTATTATTAGCACTCCTTCTAAACCTAACAAGAAATACAATTTTGAAATAGTGGAAATACTGATTTATTTATTTACTTTGGGAAAATACGCCTTTGAAACGGCAGCACACACAAGAGTGGTGTGTTCAACTACAAAAGATGGACAAACAAACATTTTACTTACTTTTTTCATGTCCTCGTACTTGAGTATTAGTAAGTTTTCTTCCTCCTTGTGTTTCCACCAATCCAATACATGTTCAAAGTATGAGCCATACCCAACTAGATAATATGTGATAATTTATGTTAATTTTACATATTGTAAAATGATTGAATTTATTCGGTTTAAACACCAAGAATAACCCATGAAAGTCTGAAGTAAACTTATATCCAGCGGGTCCTGGTGGTGATTGGACAGACTACATATAGGAAGTCCCTACTCTTTTCCAAAGAGTGTAATGCGTTCCTTAATATGCATTATATGGCCATATTGCACACAGTACTAATAGCTTAAATGCTTCATCCATAAGACAGTTTACTTTTGAAATTTGCATTCCACCCTTCTAGCTGGAAAACAAGGAGTGCAGCAATGGAAAAAGAACAAGGGATCAAGAGATCTCCTAGTTCAGTGCACACACATGAATAACACCAGTCAAGTCCTCCTTTTGTTTGACTAGAAAGTTTATCATTATTTATGAGTTTAGTCTTAAATCAAAAAAAAAAAAAAGATCAGCTGTTTTTTAGGACACTTTTCAACAAAATATGGCTTTGGGCTTCCAATTATTACAGTATAGTGTATGACAACTAGATATTATAATATTCAAACATACGTTTATGATTAAAGAACCGGTAGAAGAATTGTGACAGGGTGCATTTGTAATTTACAATTTTCACCATTCGATGGAAGTCATAAAAAGAGCACATAACATCTTTCGGATTCCTGCACATGTATACAACCTGAAAATACAAAAATATACATTAAAAATTTAATTATTGTTATACAGTAAGTATTAATAATTTAGCACTATCTAAAATTAATTAAATTTTTCTCTCAGTAAAAAAAAATATCTACACTATTGTTTAATATCTAATTTTAATGAATCACCAAGGGTCCAAAGTGTTTTATGAGTCACAGGACTCGCATGATCTCGCACAAAGATTCCAATTTCAAATCAATGATCAAAGGCCATAAGCATTATTACCCCTGGTCATTGGATAACATCCGACAAACCAGCACAAAGTGCAACCTTCTTTGCTCCCTGAAGAATATATCTAATCGTTCGTGCGTACTCAGTACAATTATACTCCCCTAAACCATAAACTAACCAATCTCCCCAAATTCAAAATGTTTGCATGTTTTTCTTTTTGCGCTATCAACTGTCTCTTTGAATTCAGCACTGCTTTGCGTGTCACCCTACGCAGCAAAATAAAATTACTGTAGTTCCTCTGGTATAAGCCCACCCCCTACTATATACCCCATTTTATGTTCCAGCCTTTCCTCGGGCAAAAGCCAGGGTATGATTTTTGCAAATATTTGAATTTTTTTTTCACAAAGGAATTAGGTATACAGTGCCTAAAAACTGCCATTTGATTGAAAAGAGGATTCCCCAGTTAAAAGCCCACCTCCAAAAATTGGTCCAATTTTGAGTTCAAGGCGGGGGTAGAATTATAATATAAGAACTAGGATAGGTATTCTCAAAGAATTTCATCTGGTTCCATAAATATAGTAGAGAATTATCTGTTATGTTGAACCAATTAGTTGCTTACCTTAGCAATGGTTTCGGCAACAACTTTGGTCACTTTCTTCAGGCTAATTGACCCTTGATTGAATTGGGTCTTATTATTTTTTTGTGGGCTTCACTCCTTTTAGACATTCCACTTTTCATCATCTATGTAAATACTATTCAAATTACTTGCATGTTTAATTTTATGGGCTTCATTTTTTTATGACATTAAGGTGGAATATGTCTGTATTGTGATCTGGTTTCATAAAAACCAAACAATAAACAACATCTGGTAGGGCTCCTCAGAATATAATGTTGTAAACAAACGAGAACTTGCTGGTTGTAACAAAAGTAATTTTCTTTTTAAATCATAAATTAAACAAGAAATTGGGTATTGTTTAAAAGAATGTGTCAAACTGACTAATATTTGCTGGTATTGACCTAGTTACAAAAATCATGCCTATCCTAGATATCCTAGGCTTCATATTTTGTACCTAGCTGCTTGTTTCTGTGTCTGTAGTGATCAAATTTACTTCTTTGTTTTCAACAATGGTACACTCCATGGTTCAATATAATTATATAATGATATACCATAGCAATCCTGGGTTCTCCAAGATTTTTCAAAATTCAAATAACCATTGTTGTTGACCGCTATTGTCAATTATTTAATTCCACCAACAGCAATAAATCGCCATGGCCTCATCTTCATCGTCGCCATTATCATTATTAGGCCTATCCATTATTATAATCTACATTATTCATTATCATCATTATCATCATCATCATCATCATCATCATCATCATCATCATCATAATCTGTATCATCCATTACTATCTGATTTAGTAGCTAGTGATGCTGACAATCAAAAAAACCAAGAGTTGGATGACATACCTTACAGTGGGCTTCTTGCACCGCCCTGGGAAGCATACAGTACGGAAGATGTGTTTTGATGATTCTAGGGGACGGTAGGTTCTTTATAGTTTCTAAGCCTGGGTGAGGATACTCTAAGAATTGTACACCATTTTCAATAGATTCTTGACTCATATCTCCAATCCCTACTTCTGTAGAGTGCATCACAAGGTATGTTACATCTTCTAGCCAAAGACCTGACAAGACAATTATTTATAAAGACATTTAATTATGACATTATTTATGTCAGTTACATTTACCATAAATAAATGTACAAGCACTTGTTTCAAGTAAGCACCCCAACAAATATGATATTGTTTCCCTATGATCTCAAAAAATTTATGGTTTGTTCTTTTAAGAAATGTTTCTCCCAAAAGTCGATAATACTTGTAGTTTATTTGAAAAAGCTGTTCTAAAAATATTAGCAAAACAATATTAACAAAACAATTATTCTAGACTAATGCTGAATTTAATAATCACTGTGCTTGTGCAACACACCATTAATAATTTTTTGTCTTTTTTCAAAAATCTTAGCATTTATTGTTCTCTCACGAAATTTTTTTTTCCCCCAAAAGTCCAATCTTTCACCCACTGCTGTATCTCCACTGAACTCATGGGTACACTCCTTTTTTAGCTCTTCCTCTCTTTAACTCAAATTTTCACCCTCTTTTTTATTTTTCGGCTAGACTGACGGGGCGCACAGGCCTCATGGTCCTCCACTGGATCCGCGCCTGACAACACATACAAACCAATTTTTCACGGGCTGAATAAAGTTGTAACAAGTTGTGCCTGTTAAAGATGGTTTGTAGAGGACTCACTGTGGACTTACTGTACTTTCATTTTAGCACTGTCTGAAACACAAGGAGCAGTGAACACTGATGTAGTTGAACCAGGGAGCTGGTTGAACCAGGGAGCTGGTTGAACCAGGGATTCAATATCATGGTTGAGTGCACAAAAAGTGACTATGTCATGATTTCACTTACAATAAAACTGCTATTGCAGCAGATGACTGTCAACAAATCTGCACGTAGTGCATACCACAAAACAGACTAAAATGTTAATAAAGTACAACTGTATAGCTGTTGTGCTGATCTGCCTAGATTTATGAAGCAACCCTTTGAGGGGTTTTCATAAATCCAGTATTAAGAGGCAGAAGGTATGAAAAGGGAGTGTCGGCAGATTCCTATAATAATGTAACCAGGTTAATCCCAAATGTTACCCCCAAAATATAAGTCAATTAAGTTTAAACAAATACCTGACAAATAAAGGTATGTCTACATCTATCACAACATTTTAGCATGTATAATGTTATAAACCAGTTTTTACTATAATGTTTATTTAACTGCTTGTGTCGGCTTTAAAAAAAATTATTAGCTAACCATTGTTCGTTATTAAAAATGTAATTTGTCTTTCATTTGCAAGATCTTTCTAAAAATATGCTAAAAGATGTAGCAACATTCAATATTATGTATGAGGACATAATCTTGTATATATGGCATTAGTTTTTGTGCACACTGGGCTTCACAAACATAGACTGATCTAAACGTTTTCATACTTGCAAGTAGGCCAATCAACCTTGTATGGCCAAAAATTTCATACCTACAGTATATATTTTCTGTACAGTATAAAATGTTGCTAAGATTTGTAGCAATTTTATGACAGTGTGTTGTCTAATGATGTACAGGAAAATATTGAGCTTCAGAAATAATGATAAGATAGAAATATATAAATCAAATGTTTATGGTTTGTTATTATATATCAATTCTTTTTGTTCCCATCACTCATCTGAACCCTGGATAGGCTCAAATCTGTTATAGATACTACAGTGTTACATCACAATACCGTGTGATACTACTCCGTTGCTATCGGCGACACAAAATGCGTTCAAACCATTGATACCAATTTCTAATGTAATTATTAAGATGTTATATCATAATTTTTCTTTGTAAATTTTTATTGATGATTAAATGTGTGTTCGATAATTAATAATGCGAGTTTTTGTGCTTTTAGTACATTTTGATGGTACTGTATTAGGTTTTAAAATACCTATTCCAGAAAGCCTATGAAGTCATTCAGATGTAGGCCCTAATGAATGGTAACCAACATCTGGTTGACAACAGAGCACTGTAATGCATATACCTATTTTAATACACTACTTAGATAGGCTTTTCTTTTTCCATCTTGATTTCAGAGGTCAAAAACATCTTTCAATTTTTTTTCAATCATATAGTGGTGTAGACTAGTCTTTTACGAACATTTTGCTGGAAAAAGTTTTTGGATACGACGCCCCGTTATGGAGTTATGATTTTTTAAATAAATGATGTCAGAAAATCAGCCCAAAAGCTTATCTTATTTCTGTTGGTTACGCACCACTGATTGCAATGTCTGTCATTACTTCAAAATGTCTACCGATTCGTGGAAAAGGCCTATCAATGAATAATAATAATTTGCCTATCCAAATAACGTAATTTTGGCTGCCAATCTATAATATTGTGGTCAAAAAGCACATTTTGGACCATAATAAGCCATTAAAACTCTCCTGTGAACCCTATTCCAGACCAAGGCTTCATTTTCCCCTTAGCTCAGACCCCTCCATCGGACATGTTGGACGCCTTGGCAGATTTCTGGTGCCACCACAAGCCACAAGGTCGAATGTGTGGGTTCCGGAAAGTTTCATTCCCCCGTGCCCCTCCCCCCGTCTCCACCACTGTGTGCATGAAATGCAATAAACTTTATAGATATCACCTAGATAAGAATAATGTACAGCTCCTTGTTACAAGAGATAAATTAGTATAGGCCTACTGCTGCGAACAATTGCCAAAATAAATTGACACTTCTACCAAGGTCCTACCAACTGACTGGAGGTTGGTGCTCCAGTAAACGCCCTCTTTTCTTCTCTGGGATTTCCTATTCCAGACTCTGGGATTTCCTATTCCAGACCAAGGCTTCATTTTCCCCTTGGCTCAGACTCCTCCATCGGACATGTTGGACGCCTTGGCAGATTTCTGGTGCCACCACAAGCCACAAGGTCGAATGTGTGGGTTCCGGAAAGTTTCGTTCCCCCGTGCCCCCTCCCCCCGTCTCCACCACTGTGTGCATGAAATGCAATAAACTTTATAGATATCACCTAGATAAGAATAATGTACAGCTCCTTGTTACAAGAGATAAATTAGTATAGGCCTACTGCTGCGAACAATTGCCAAAATAAATTGACACTTCTACCAAGGTCCTACCAACTGACTGGAGGTTGGTGCTCCAGTAAACGCCCTCTTTTCTTCTCTGGGATTTCCCACAAATCTGCCTCACACAAACAAAAAATTACATTTTAAAGGAACAAACGCATTCCTGAATTTCATTCAACATCCTACGTCTATGTGTATTACTGTATTTTATTATTTTAGTCCAGCTAACTGGGTCTCGAAAACGACGAACATTAGTAGTACAATGGAGTACAATGCAAATAAATAATTAGGCACACCTGATCAGTGATCAGTGACTTAAGAACTGAACATGATAAAAAGATGCTCGTTGCGGATAGTTTACCTGCCCGTGGATACGAAATTACCCACACATCGTCCTCGCGAACATCAAACTCGCTGATCTCTTCCATTTTCCCCCGACAAAATGGAGGCAGACGGATGTCTTTAAACACATAATAATGCATAATATTCTCATCCGAACATGGGCTATGCAACAAACCACGGGGTGCAGCCATTTAATGCATCTGTCGATTCAAAAACCGTGTCTCTTTATTCTTCTTCGAAATTAATAATGGTCTGCTGCTTGCTTATTCTGTGCTTTGGGGGCGTTGTTTGGTTTACTGTAACCATGTGGTTGAACATACCGTAAAACCTCGAATTGAAGCCCACTGGACTTCCCCACTGGGCTTCTCGAGATGAAGTCAATCTCGAATTGAAACCCCCTATTTAGTTTGCAAAATTAGCCTCGAAAAAAGCCTGTACACTGTACATGAATTTCAGAAAACAAAATAAATTAAATACAAGCTTGGTTTATAAAGTAGTTAAAGTGATTGCCAGTTAAATACACTCCATGATACTGATTGATTGATTGACAGTGGCCTTATTTATTGTTTTACATTACAAATTCACAAAATTTTCAGCATTCATTTTGAAAAAAAATCCCCCTCTTTACTTTGCAAAAGTAGTCTCGAAAAGAAGCCCATCTTCGGAAAGGAAGCCTATCTCGAAAAGAAGCCCATCCCGCAAAGAAAAGAAGAAGCCCAGGGCTTCAATTCGAGGTTTTACGGTAGCCTACATTTGTTCATTAATTAAAATGGAATAGTTGCAACCTTTATAACTGTTCTTATGTGATGTAACTTTCAGAACTTAATTGCGTGATGTTTTGGACTTCAAATTAATTTAATGAATTTAAAATTATCGTTAGGCCTAATACATAAATTTAAGGTTTTAATTTGCTATTCCAGCTATCAACGGCTTATTATTTCACCAGCATTACGTAATATTAACAAATGTAATACTTTTGCAAAGTGCAGGAATTGTGGATTCTGTAGGTTGTCCAAGCACTTTTTTTTATCTTCTTTTATTGTTTTACAATCAACACGTAGCCTGGGCCTACCGATAACGGAATAAAATAAAAGCGATAATTTCATTGCATTTAGACTTTTTTTTTACGATTCTCGATGATGAAGTGATTGAGCCCTATGTGTGAAAAATAAGGTGATGTGAGTGGCGTCTCGTCGAGGCGT